TTAGAAGGCTCCTTGGCAAACAAAGCTTCCCTACATTCCTGTTGTGTGATAGGCTTGCATAAGTATAGCTTGTCACTAGAAGGTATTGATTTAGTCACAAACTGCCTCAAGAATAATCTATCTGGCTTAATCTCTGCATTCACCACTCCATACAAACATTTATAGAACTTAACAGCCTCCCCTGCAATCTCTTCAGCTTTTGTGAATATTGTCCCAGATTCCAGTCTTAGGCGTCTTATTTGTTTCTTTGCTTGCCTTATTTTAACGAACTTATGAAAGAATCCAGTGTTTGAGTCTCCCAAATTCAAATATTGGATCCTTGACTTTTCCTTATAAAAGCTCTCCTCAGCTAACTGCAACTGCTTATAGTTTGTAGTTACTTGTTTGACATCTTCAAAAGTCCCTTCTGCAGGTGAATTAAGGGCCTGTACCTGCGCTTCCTTCATTATTCTTTCTGCTTCCATCACACTACCTGGAATATCTAAAAATTTATCCTTATTAAGCTTCTTCAACTCTTGCTTCAATAAACCAAGTCTCTTTTTGATACTCCATAATCGCGAGCCAGCTACTCTGTTTCCCCATCAACTCTGCATAATGCTCCCATAATTGCCATGCTGCATCCACATCTCATAGAACCTAAATGGTTTCGGGAAACTCTTCATAGCCACTGTCGGGCAAACTAAAATTCCATAGTGATCAGAGAAAGACGGAGCCAGAAACTCCACCACACACAAAGGCAGCTTATTAAACCAGTCATTATTCACCAGAGCCCTATCAATCTTCCTCGCTATCGGATTGTTCTTCTGCTGATTATACCAAGTGTGGAAAGGTCCTGAAGCATGATGGTCTCCAGTTCCATCTCCTCAACCCAACCTCTAAATGAAATCATACTAGTATAAATAGCTACTATATTCAATGCCTCAACTGGATTAAGAATCACATTAAAATCACAGCAGACAAGCCATGGGAAACCCTTAACTTGCCATCTCCTCAAATGAATGTATGTAGCAGCACGTTCAGCTTCATCATTGGAAGCATAAACCGCTGAGAAAAAGAATTGTTCCTTCCCAGAAATCGAAACCAAAGAGTGTATGAAATTCATATCCCTCTCCAATACTCTTAACTTTACTTCATCTGTCCAACCAATCCATACCCTTCCCAAAGGATGCTTAGTATAGTTGTCATCAAACGAGAAACCAGAAAACTTACCTTTTATATTATCTGAATTATTTTGTTGCACTCTTGTTTCCAGCAAAGCCAAAACCTGAATCTTGAACTTACGTACGTATTCCAGCACAAAATTGTGCTTCAAGGGGCAACTGAAACCCCTTGTATTCCACACTAGCACTGTCATTTAGCAAGAGGAGGGACCAGAGCCCCTTTCTGACTGCGCAATCCCTCTCGACCTTTTGTTGGAACAGGTGGCGTTTCACATACTTCCTTGACACTTTCTACTCCCACCTCATCCCCCAAAGTATCATCTGTTTTTATCCCAGAAGCCGATACCTGCAACTCCACCGTCGTGATCTTCTTTTTCCTCCAAACCCTCTTGACATTACCATTACTATCCATTGGAGCATAGCAATCATGCCCAAACACACAACAAGCAGTACATATCTTTGGCAATCTACAATATTCTACCGAAATAAACATCTTTTCCATTCCATTAGGTGTGATACTAACCTTATCAACCAGTTTCTGCTTAGCACTAAGTTCAACACATATCTTCGCCATACCCACCCTAGTGCCAAATTTCGTGGGTTGATCCATACACAGTGGCTTACCCAGTAAACTTGAAACCCTTCCCAACCTCTCCTTTGACGAGAGCTCTGAAGGCAACCCAGAGAGCTTGACCCAAACTGGAACCGCTGAGTTATCGATCTTCAACGCCTGGATACCCAGAGCCCAGCGACGTAGACATAGCATATTCTCCTTATAGCGCCAGGGACCCTCTTCAAACACCCATCTACATGTCGTCTCCATCGAAAATTGGAAGAGCACCAATCGATCCTCTAACCACGACACCTTCACTTCCCCCTCATGACCCCAGAGCCAGTTAGCCCATAATAAAATTGTTGCTAACGTCGGCGGTGACGAGAGAAATTATCCCACCAGACTATTGTCCCAGCGGCGAATGCCTTCGTTAATCACTGAGCGCAGAATTCTCAACGATCCATTGATGATTTCTGACTCATAATACTCTAACCTTGTATCCTCGGCAGCCCCAAACAGAGACGCCCACGAACGACTGCCACTGGCGTAGCCCGATGAGGCTCTGTCAGCGACGGGCGTCATCAAAATTCAACAACGAAACTCTAGCGGAGAAGAGAGAGAAGAGAGACCCAATTTGCTTATACCAACAAGCATATTCTATCTAATTTTTCCAGTTCAAAATAGTAGATGATTTTTTTATTCTATCTAATTTTTATTGTGTACGTGATATCCACGTCAACAAAGCATGCTAATTCACTAATGGTCAACATCGTTGACCGTCTAGTTTAATGAAAATTTACGTACCAGGCCAAACTAGACTATATCGTGTATAGTTAAGGTTAGGATAGCAACTTCTAAAATCACGAGTCAAAATAGATTATTTGGGTATAATTCGGAGGAAAAATAAGATACTAACCCTAAAACATACACAAATCTAAGTTTTAAGGAGTTGTCATGTCTGATCCGATAACAAAAACTAAGCTTTAATAACTTCTTTTATTATTGATGCTTCAACAAAGGTTGGGGGAAGAGGGGAAAAAAGTTACATATGATCCTACCATTCAAGAAGAGATATGAGAGAGGATCTCGCACACGTTTACCCCTGAAGAAGTCCATCTCGCAGCTAAATCCATGGGAGCGTTAAAGGCCCCAAGAAAGATGGGCTTAACCCTATGTTTTATTAACATTGCTGGGAGATAGCTGGTCCAGCGATGGTGCAGTTCGCGAAAGAATGCTGGCAGAAACCATCGAGAGTTCTAGCTATTAATGAAACTATTCTTGTGTTGATTCCGAAGATCCAACGACTGGTCCTAATTGAACAATTTTGTCCAATTAGTTTGTGCAATGTGTTTTACAAGCTAATTACAAAATGCTTGGCAGAAAGCATTAAGCACATAATGCACAAATTGGTGGACGAGACCTAGACCAGCTTCGTGCCTGGAAGGCCCATTGCTGACAACATTTGTATTTTGCATGAAGTGGTTCATTCCATGAGAGCGAAATAGGGACATATATGCTGGATGGTGCTGAAGATTGATCTCACAAAAGCTTATGATCGTATCAAGTGGTGCTTTGTACGGGACACCCTTCAGACTGCTGGGGCCCCACCAGCCTTCATCGAGCTAACCATGCAGTGTATATCTTCCGCAATGATGCAGATTCAGTGGAATGGTGGTCTTTCGGAGTCCTTTACACCATCTCGAGGTTTGGGACAGGGTTGCTCTCTATCTCCATATATTTTTACTCTCTGTATGGAAAGACTGAGCCACGTGATCAAGACTGCGGTTGACGGAGATACTGGGCGTACAATTAAGCTGTCTAGTCATGGGCTGGCGTATTTTTTGCAGATGACCTCATTCTTTTTAGGAGAAGCATCTATGGCCCAAGTTCAAATTATATCTTAGTGCATGGAGGAGTTTGGAGATACCTCAGGACATCAAGTCAGTCATCCCAAATCCAGAGTTTTCTTTTCGAGGAATGTCACCCAGGCAACTTCTGCAGCTTTGAGCTCTGCCTTGGACATTCCCGAAACTAAAAATCTTGGCCTTTATTTGGGGGTTGCGGTGATCCACGACCAGGTATTGCGCAAGACCTACTCTGACCTCATTGACAAGATCAATAGCAAACTGGCGGGATGGAAGGTGAATACTTTGTCATTAGTAGCCCGGATTACGCTCTCGCAGTCCGTCCTTGCAGCTCTATCAACTTATACTATGCAAACCTCCTGGTTACTGACTTTTGTCAAGGATTATATAGACAAGAAGATAAGGGGCTTCATGTGGGGTAGTTCGGAAGCCGGAAGAAAGGTTCACCTTGTTGATTGGGAGACAGTGTGTCGACGGAAAGAGGAAGGTGGACTGGGATTCCGCGATGCGACGCGAATGAATGAGGCATTTATGTTGAAAATTTTATGGCGGCTGATGAATGAGCCAGATAGCCTGTGGGCAAAAGTGGTTCGAGCCAAATACCTGCAACGAACAGAGTCTGGTTGAAAGTCGCGGACGGCAGGTAGATTGTCCAATCTATGGAAGGGAGTGATACGAGTTCTCCACCTATTACCAGCAGCCATTCACTACAACAAATTCGGCCTATTAGGACAAAAAAAATTATTTTGTCATTTTTTGTTTGTCACCATAGGTACGGTGATATGACAAAAATAATATATGGCCTATTTGGTATGCCTAATGTGACAAAAAAAAATTGTCAGAATAAGTCATCATTTAAAGTGAGTGACGTGACAAATATTTCGTGTCACAATTAAGTTTGTCCCAATATGCATCCCATATCGGGATATAAGATATACTAAAGTGACAAATTATATCGTTAGAGTAGCTTTTGTCATATTATGTCTTCCTAAATTGTTTAAATGATAAAGTATTTCGTCGCAATAGATAGCAATAATCACATGACGAGTTGACAAAAGGGCATGTTCGTCATAATATAGTGGTTTCGGCTTTGACAAAAGACATGTTCGTAATAATATAGTGGTTTCGTTTTTGACAAAAAGCATTTTCGTCAGATTTGCTTGTGTTCAGTCCCGCCCACAAACCCAAATTTCAGTCCTGCCCAATTTTTATTGTGCACTTGTCAATCCCGCAATTTTTAGACCCCAATTTTCAGTCTAACTGACACAATTTCAGTGATTTTAAATTTTTAACAAAATTTATGACTCCAAAAATTTCCTATTCTGCCAATACTTGAACCCCCCCCCCCTCCCCAAAAAAAATTGAAAATTTTCCCTTCTCACAAAAAAATCCCCTTACCCTAAATTCCAAATGAGATCCCCGCCCCTCTGCCCTCTTTTATCTCTTCCCATTCATTAATTCTTCCCCTTCTCAACTTTCCTTCTTTTCCGCCCTTCTTCGTTCTCTCCAAAAAAACCACCCTGCACATGCTCCTCTACTCTCAAAGAAAACAATGTCTTCATCTCTTCCTTCCTCTCCAAAAAGATCACCGCTAGCTGCCTCCTCAAGCGACGATGGGTGACGCTGACGGAGAGATTGAGACGACAACGATTGCCGAGATTTGACGACGATGGCAGAGAGATCGAGAGACAAGGGGCGGAGAGATTGACAGGTGACGAGCGGAGAGATCGCAAGCGACGGACGGAGAGAACAACAGGTAACGGATGGAGAGATCGACAGGCGACGATGGCGCCGAGCTCAAGAGGTGACTGGCGGATCGAGAGGTTGCAATGGCGGAGCATTCCTACGAGAACGATTGGATTAGTTTGGCTTAAGTTTTTTTTTTTTGCAGGTTTTGCTTCGGCAGAAGATGGGGTTTCAGCAGGGTAGGGGCTGAGGGCGAGGAGGTGGGGGTAAGATGAGATGGTGCTGGAAGCAAGACGATTTAAGGCCGGTTGGATATCAACGAGTATAAGGTCCGGTGCGAGACTAGCGGCCACGGTGGGAGAAGGATTCTGATGTATGCATTTTTTTCTTGTGTTTGTTATTTTTTTAGGGTTCCAATTCTAGGTTTGAGGAGAAGAAGTATCAATTCTGGATTTGGTTAGTTTGGATGGGTTGTAATTTATGGGTTAGCGACGCTTTTTTGGGTTTGCGAAACTTTTATGGGATTGTGAATGGAGAACAAATTCTGATAACAAAGCTTTACTGGATTTGTGAGTTCCTTTTATGAATTTGGATTTGCGAGTTGGGCATAATCGACGGAGAATAAAAATCTTTGTCTATACTTGTGACAAAATGTAGTCGTCACAAAATATAATTATGACAAAATATAATCGTGTAATATGACGAACAATTCTCTCAAAATCACTAGATTATGACAATTAGAGCACTTTTGGTGGCAGACATGCTGCTGAACGGACAATGGAATATCCCGTACCTGAGGTTTTTCTTGCCCGAAGCGTGGTTCTACAAATCATGCTGCATCCGGTCCCCCATGAACCTAAAGAGGACACGTCGTGCTGGCGACTCACTCCGAATGGAGTCTTCTCCTTGAAGTCGGCTTAGGAGATTACTGCGGGGAATAATAACGTAGTCAACCTTGTTGATCTCACATGGAAAGCTATATGGAAGACGCCAGCTCCCCAAAGAACAAAGACGTTCATGTGGTTGGCAGCCCATAAGAGCTTCCTCACCAATGCGGAAAGGGTTTGACGCCACTTAACAACCGATGCCGATTGTCCCGTCTGCGGTGGGGGTCTAGAGACGTCACTACATATTCTGAGAGATTGTTCTTATGCGAGAGCGGCGTGGGCGAAAATCCTGCAAAATGAATCGGATGAGATGTTTTATCAAGATGATTTGTCTAGATGGATACTCTACTATGTGACGGGTAAGAGTGAGAACATTGATCCCTCAAGCTTTGCGATTCTTTGTTGAAAATTATGGAAAAACAGAAATGCTGAAGTTTTCAAACATAAGCTGGAATATACCATGGAGCTCATTGGAGGGGCAAAGATCCTTAGGCAACAGGTGGCGTGGACTTTCCAGAAGGAAACTTTGGTGATGGGGGATGCCAAACAAAGGACACAAGCTCTTATTCAGTGGCAGCCTCCTCCACCGGGCTGGATAGCTTTGAACGCAGATGGCGCGGTGCAGCTCAACCAAGGTATTGTGGTGGGAGGAGGTGTTATAAAGGATGAAGCGGGTCGACTGATTTGAGCCTATGCGATGAACCTCGGGGGCGGGTCTACAATGCATGCTGAGTTATCGGGCATAGTTCACGGACTCCGTGTGGCATGGGAGGCCGGATTTCGGAAGGTGGAAGTGCAAACAGATTCTTTGACGGCACTTTAGCTCCTTAAGTCGCTGCCGGAGAACCATCCTCATCATGTGCTGATCAGAGCTGCAGCAGAGCTCCTGAATTTGGAATGACAGGTTAACGTCTCCCATGTTTATCGGGAGGGTAATTTCGTAGCTGATTTTTTGGCCTCGTTGGGATTTAGCTTTCCTGTAGGTGCTCATTTTATTGATGCTCCACTCCCACTCCTGAACCATTGTTTGATGTATGATCGGTTGGGGATCACTACCCCACGACTTATAAGTAATCAAGGGTAAGAGCACCCCTTATTGTGCTCTTTTTATTACCAAAAAAGAAATTAAAACCAAAATATCTAAATTAAAAAATTGATAGCACAACCAACCACTCGATCAAACTAGGGTAGCAAGTACTAGCAACTAGCAACTTTAATAATATTCAACATGCACCGGCCCAACTATTCCTTGCGGCCTAAGTGCCTAACAGTTGGTGGTGCCCGCAGAGGTCCTGAGGGACGGGTTGGGTCGCGCCTTGCACAGGGTTTGTCTTCGCCGCTGAAATTGGACGGACCATCTCACCTCCACGCAAAATCACAAATAATTGCGTTTTGGGTTTCAGTTAATCAGTCAAGGGTTTACAAAGACCCTTCTTTATGGCTCGAGTTAGGGACTAAATCTAGATCTTTCTTTGTTGGAATTAAATATATTTTTTTTAGTTTCCTTAATTGATTCTTTATGTTGTTAGTTCTAATTTGGATTTTTTTTTTCACAGATGAAACAAGTTTGTTGTGTTCTACAAAATGAGATCCATTTTCAATATTTTTTTAGAAAAAAATCCATATCTTTCGTTACCAATTCCGTACCATATGGTATCTACTTCATTTTTAAGTCGTTTTTTGAAAAAATTTGCACAGAAGGAAAGAGTTGCTTATGATTTATTGGATCTAAAAATTTTTAGCTGAAAATAATAGAGGACCAAAAAATACCTAACAATACCACCCTTGTGTGTATGGATGTTCAAATGGTTACCATGGTTATAACCAAACCAAATAAGCTAAATTCCATTAACCATGGAATACAATATCATAACCAAACCGTCCAAACTAATACAACAACCAAATTAACCAAACTAAAGTTTAATCGATTTGGTTAATTGGTTAACCAGATTAACCAATATAAAATCACATTATCATTGACGATGAAAATTTTCCGGTTAATGCAACAATTTACAATTTATATAATGAATAAAACATATCAACCAACACGTAGTTATAGTTGACCCTTAACAAAAATACATGCAACTAAGACAATTATCTTACTATTAGTATAAAAGTATTCACCTAACAAAAATTTATGACAATGGTATGTTAATGAATTGTTGCGTTTGTGTAAATTGACTTAGTCTCTTAGCAATTATCATAGGCTGGAAATGACCTTCTTTTCAAGTTTTCATCTATCATAATGTATGAAATTTATCTAAATTAGGCGTCCATATGTTGTGGTCTACATTTTACATATACATATATACACTATATGAGCAATATTGAGCTTTATATTTTATGAGTCTAAAAGGGATGAACGTTAACTCTTGAGTGGTTATGCAAAGTATTAAGTATCTGTATATAATATATGTTAGATATATGACTAATTACTTAACTGGTTAATTTGGTTTGACTGGTTAGGAGTGTCTGAAACCAAACCACCTAAACCAAACAAGCTAAAAACTTTAACCAAACCAAACCAATTATCCAAATTAACCAAACTAAATTATCCAAATAGTACCGGTTAAAACGGTTACCATAGTAACCAAACCATTTGAACACCCCTACTTGTGTGGGGGTTGGTATCTTGTCGCTACACAATATTAAAGGCTTTTCAGAAGAGAGATGAGTCCTAATGTAGTGGATTCTGATTGGTTTACTATGGTTACTTGCCATAAAATTACTGATGAAATTGGCTCGCCTTCTTTATTGCTTAAACGGAAGAGAATTGGGTTGGGTGGTGCACTGCAAGGTAGGAATTAGGAATTCGGTACGTGGAACAAATTAAATAGATGTCATACCTAAAAGAGGAAAGTCACGATTAGGCGATAGCTTAGTAGAGTCTCCATTGTTTCCCCTAATCTACATAACCCTCAACTTTTCTACTTCGCTAACCTTTTCATCTTTCTTTGCTCCCTCCCTCCTGAATTTGACTATAGTGTTTTGGCGTAACCACATGCCATTAAATCAAGCGTGCCACGATCCATAATTCGATAGTTATTGTTTACAAATTCGTCATTGTGCATATCAAATTATTATCGATCGTTGAACGGTCAATTCAATAATATAAGCACGAGGATTATATTGTTGGATATTTTATATTTTTCCGTAGTATGCTTTCATACATATCAATTATTAAAAAATACATACTATTCCATTTGGGTATAAAAAATTATTCTAGGAACGGTAACAGTAATTAGAGATGAATCTTCTCACAAAAAAAAAAAAAAAAAAAGAGATGAATCTTGCATTCTAAGCTCATTTGAATGTGGTAAGGAGCTGTCCATGAAATGGCCCCTCTTCTCCTTCTCTCATGATCCACCGCAAAGTTGAAACATGAAAATAGCAGCACTTTTTTGTTTCTTTCTTAACCTAAAGTAATTAGGCCAAAAAGCAGAGGGGGAAAAGGAAGGTGATTAGTACGTAGTAAGCATAATTAGTTGTTAGCATAAGAAAGTAAAAGCCTTTTCTTCTTCTTTTCTTTGTTGGACAGCGATTTTCAAATTGCAGAAAATGATGATTAGGTAGCTCCCAATGGCGTGATGACAAAGAAAATTTCCTGTTCCGATGTTCAAATATCAAATCAATTTAAGTAGTATGTTATGTGAGAGTGAAAATTCAAAAGGGCTGGCTTTTGGGGTTGCTTAATTGGTGATGATAATTGGATTAGGGCAGCACAATAATGCAATCAAGGGATGATGAACCTGATAAGTGGCCATTAATCCTCGACCAAACAAAAATGAGAGGATAGAATGAGTCCACCAATCGACAAGATTAGCTAGCTAGATTGCAACTTCTGCATGTGTATTATGCGTCATTTAATGCATTGTCTACTATTAGTTAAAGGCCAATTATTTCTCTTGATCATCATCTACCTCAATTCGATTTCACTAATTAACCACTAACTGCTCTCTGTGTTTTTATTTTCCAAACTAGATTATCACATGATACTAATAAAGGTAAATAGATATCAACAAGGTAGGATAGCAACCCCACAAACACTTAACATTTCAAGTAGCTCTGACAAGGATAATAAATGCTTTGTATGTCTATTCACATTGCTAGACACTATAAACACTTTGCATGTCTTGTTGCGCGACAGGTGCTATACATACTTTGCATATCTAGTCATTTCGGCAAGGACTATAAACACTTTGTTATTAGACATAACGAAATCAAAATGAAACGAAATGCAGGGACAACCAAGTCGCCTTACAATATTATCATATCAAATTGTCTTTAGGAATACCTTTAGGACTATAAACACTTTGTTATTTCCTAAGGTTTTGAACTCGAGCTAGAATTTGATCATCGAACCTATTTATTTGAGCTTCACTTGTTGTTTTGAGTCTTAACGAACCAAATATTCAGCTCTTCTTTGAATCTTTGTTATGTGATAATCAAATCAACCTTTACATATGCTCTCTACATTCATTTCCACCATTTATTTTTTGCCTTTTCAACCAGAAAGACACCAGTTGTGCACCCCTCTCCTCCTTGAGTTCCCTGGTTTGTAACCTTTCTGCATGATATAACACATTCATGCATTTTCTATCATAGGAAACTCTACCATTGGGGCTCATCCCCTTAAGGTTCTAGACTAGGTGTAATAGCGATATGGGTTTATCTTTTTTTGTTGTGATAAGGGGTATTACTGAAGGGATTCAAACC